TCCAACTCTCTCAGCCTGTCCTCATAGGAGACGTGCTCCAGCCCTCTGATCATCTTTGTGGCCCTCCTCTGGACCTGCTCCGACAGGTCCAGGCCTTTCTTATGTTTGGGGCTCCAGAGCTGGACACAGAACTCCAGGTGGGGTCTCACAAGAGCAGAGTAGAGGGACAGAATCTCCTCCCTTCACCTGCTGGCCATGCTTCTTCTGATGCAGCCCAGGACATAATTGGCTTTCTGGGCTGTGATTGCACATTGCTTGCTCGCGTTGAGCTTCTCGTCCACCAACACCCACAAGTCCTCCTCCTCAGAGCTGCTCTCAAGCCATTCTCTGCCCAGCCTGTATTTGCCCTTGGGATTGTCTGACCCACGTGCATGACCTTGCCCTTGGCCTTGTTGAATTTCATGAGGTTCGCACAGGCCCACCTCTCAAACCTGTCCAGCTCCCTCTGGATGGCATCCCTTCCCTCCAGCGTGTCCACTGCACCACACAGCTTGGTGTTGCTGGCAGACTTGCTGAGGGTGCACTCAATCCCCCTGTCCACGTTCCCAACAAAGGTGCTAAACAATGCTGGTCCCTGTACCGACCCCTAAGGAACACCATTTGTCATTGGGCTCCACTTGGACATCGAGACATTGACCACAACTCTTTGAGTGCGACCATCCAGCCAATTTCTTGTCCACCGAGTGGTCCATCCATCAAATCCCTGTCTGTACAATTTAGAAGCAAGGATGTTGCATGGGACAGTGTGCAATGCCTTGCAGAAGTCCAGGTAGATGACGTCAGTTGCTCTTCCCTTATCCACCAGTGCTGTAACATTGCTGTAGCAGGCCACCAAATTTTTTAGACACTATTTTCCCTTAGTGAAGCCATGTTGGCTGTCACCGGTCACTTCCTTCTTTTCCATGTGCTTCAGCATAGTTTCCAGGGGGATCTGCTCCATGATCTTGCTGGGCACAGAGGTGAGACTGACTGGCCTATATTTCCCCGGGTCTTCCTTTTTTTACCTTTTTAAAAATGGGGGTTGTGTTTCCCCTTTTCCAGTCAGCGGGAGCTTCGTTAGACTGCCATAGCTTTTTAAATATGAGGGATAGTAACTTCTTCCGCCAGTACCCCCATCACCCACAGATACATCTTGTCAGGTCCTATGGACTTGTGCACCTTCAGGTTCCTTAGATGATCTTGAACCTGAACTTCTCAAGAAGTGGTTGGTTCACTCTCCCAGTCCCTGCCTTTTTCTTCTGCTTCTCGGTCAGTGTGGCCAGAGTTGTTGCTGGTGAAAACTGAGGCAAAAAAGTCATTGAGTGCCTCAGCCTTGTACCTATCCCAGTAACTAGGTCTCCCATTTCCTTCCAGAGAGGGCCCACATTTTCCCTAATCTTCCTTTTATCACTGACCTACCTGTAGAAGCTTTTCTTGTTGCCCTTGACGTCCCAGGCCAGATTTAACTCTATCTGGGCTTTAGCATTCCTAACCTGATCCCTGGCTGCTAGGACAATTTCCCTCTATATCCCTCCCAAGCTACCTATCCTTGCTTCCACCCTCTCTAGGCTTCCTTTTTGTGTTTGAGTTTGTCCAAGAGTGCCTTGTTCATCCATGCAGGCCTCCTGGTGTTTTTGCCTGACTTCCTCTTTGTTGGGATGCATCACTCCTGAGCTTGAAGGAGGTGATCCTTGAATATTAACCAGCCTTCTTGGGCCCCTCATCCTTCCAGTGCTTTATCCTATGGTACTCTGCCAAGCAGATTCCTGAAGAGGCCAAAGTCTGCTCTCCTGAAGTCCAGGGTAGTGAACTTACTGTGCTCCCTCCTCGCCACCCTAAGGATCTTGAGCTCTACCATCTCATGGTCACTGCAGCCAAGGCTGCCCTTGAGCTTCACATTCCCCACCAGCCTCTCCTTGTCAGTGAGAACAAGGTCGAGCAAAGCATCTCTCCTTGTTGGCTCCTCCATCACTTGGAGAAGGAAGTTATCATCAACACATTCCAGGAACCTCCTGGATTGCTTATGCCCTGCTGTGTTGTCCCTCCAACAGATATCTGGACGGTTGAAGTCCCCCATAAGGACTAGTGCTTGGTCAGATGGCCTGTAGCAGACCCCCACTATAATGTCACCTGCCCCTGCCCTCCCTTCAATCCTGACCCACAAGCTCTCAGTCAGCCCTCATCCACCCCCAGGTGGAGCTCCACGCGCTGGTCTTTGACATAGAGGGCAACACCCCCTCCTCGGCTCTCCTGCCTTTCCTTCCTAAAGAGCCTGTATCCTTCCATTCCAACACTCCAGTCATAGGAACCAATCCACCATGTCTCCATGACATGGAAGCTAATGATTAATTTATGACATCTTGGCTAATGATTAAAAACAGTGTAGCTCTGTTGAAGAGCAATCAAACATTATACTTGCTAGTTTATGAATGTAATACTAAATGTTTAAATGTACAGTTGCCCACAGTAATGTACTTGGTGGTACATTTACAATATCATAAAATCTATCCATATATCTGATTTCTATGAAGCTACAACACATCATGCACTTAGTCACCCACTCTTTCTTAGATGATTGTCCTTTTCCAGCACGAGACAGCAGGGCCGTGTAAGTATCTGCCACAATTTGTTGAAGCTTTTCTAGCTTTTGTTCACAGTCTGCAGTCAGTGTCTGTATGCCTGGGACAGTTTCTTCTGACAGTCTTCCCAATATTTTAAGGTCTTCTAATGACTTGCTAAGTTCCCTCAGGCTGCCTTCGTGTGAAAAAAAGGCCTAAGCAAAGAAAAGCAATATAATATAATCATATTAAGTCATAAGAATATGCAATTATTCTCATACTTTTTTTTTTTTTTTCTATTTCCATTGTCTTCTCGGATGAGTGCACGTAAAGCATAAGCTGTCAAACTAAGAGAGAAGCATTTATTTCTCCTTGATTCTTTTTCAGATAGAGCCAGGAAAAAAATAAGGATTTCTGGCAATATGTTCCCCAGCTGCATTCACAAGACTATGCTGACTGTTGTTTGATTTAGAAATTTGTTATATTACTACAATTTTAGCTACTTTGGTCCCAAGTCCTCTTCACACTGACATCAGAAATACATGTCCCACTGACTACAGAAAAAGTAGAACTAGAAAATTTATTTAAAATATTCCCTATCAACAATTATACCTGCCAGGGTGAAATCAATATCTACTAAAAATCTAACAAAAATATGAGCAGAAGGAATGCACCTGAGAACACTTATTTCTCTTCACTTTTGCATATGTAATATTTGCTGAATATGAACCCATGAGAAGTAAAGACTAAAACTCCACTGAATTCAGTGGAGACCAGGATTGCATCAGGAGAGAAATTTCCTACCCTTGTAAGTGGTGAACTGGCCACACCAATGCATCTCAAAGAGGAAGATGAAGGAAAATGCTAGAAGCAGTGAAGTATAAAACCCATTCCTTATGGAACATGTAAGAATCACGATGACTCATCCTGGCAAGTGAAACATGAATGTCTTAGTCTAACTTAGTCTAACTCTGTGGGCATGTCCCTGCCCATTTATACGCAGCACAAACACACAGGTAAAGTGCAGCTATTGCACTGTGAGAAGATGCTCTCACCTGAAGGCACCTAACACCAGCTATGCAACTGTAACAAATCAAGGGAGTCAGAAAACACATAATAATTTCCTATTTTAACACTTTACACAGCTAAATCTGTTTTAATGCTTCAAGGCTCTCTTAAAACAAAAACAAAAAAAAAGGAAAAAAGATACCATCCACATAACAAGGAGGTAATTTTAAAAGTCTGCAAGGAGGCTAATATCTGAAGTCAAAAAAGGTAAAGAAATAATTTGGTTGGCCTCTTTGTTCTGTGTTTGCATAACACCAAGCACAAGGGCCCTGTTCCACAAACGCAGGCTGCAAAAAGGTACCTAAAAAGGAGCAAGAAGGACAGACAAGGCATTCACAAAGAAAGGTAGGTGAGCAGAAAAGGAGTGTGGCAGGTACCTCATGTTCCTTGATGAGCCCTTTGGTTTTATCCATACTTAGGAGTTTCTTCTCTTTGCCTAATTGCTTATTGATTTTTTTTAAAGTTGCGTTAAATTTCTTTTTTTCCCTTTCTACTATGAGCTGGACACAGGATATAATTTCATTGTGAACTGCCTGTAAAATTCAAAACACATTATCCCAGTGAGATGGTATTACACAGCAAATAAAAATATCAGAACATATTGTGACAAAAAAATTGATTCTCAAAGATGCCAGGCCTAATGAGAACAGACAGTGGGTTCTCCTTCCTGTATTATCTCACCTCCCATCTTTTACGAACATCTTTACTCTTTTCTTCCACTACCAGCTTTTCGTGATCAGAGGAAATATTTTTCAATTGTTCAGCTGCCTTCAAAAATTTGTCAAGAACTTTATTGCCCAGAGCATTAAAAGCTTCCTGCAAGAAAAGCATCACAATGAAAAACAAACAGAACTGAATGTAGCTTATTTACATAATAAAATTATATCAGTAGCATACAAAAACCATGGACAAAGCATGTATACATTGCATGTATGGGCTGTGATGGCCCCTGGACGGGTGAGTACGAAGACATTCTCTACCCTTGCATACCCGCAGACAATATCAGTGTAGGCTTTTTGGAGAAAAGCAAATGTTGTCCTTGTAGCCCTCTTTTAGGGGCAAATTTGGTATCAAAGAAGAAAGATTAAGTCCCTGAACTTCGCATGATTTCTAGGGAATATATGCAGCCATGTCACATGCCTGTCAGAAAGCGGGTGAAATGTCTGCACCAGTGTGATGGGACTCTATGAGATGGCCTGGAGGGAGGCTCTGCGCTGCTCCCTGCACATGGCCGCCAAGGATTTGCTCTGCAAGATGAGGAAAAATAGATTTAGGGCACTCCAATTTTTGATACCTCACAAAGGACTCCTTTAAGAGGTCCACTGGAGATCCCACTGATGGGAAAAGGGGAAACACAACTCCCACTTTTAAAAAGGTAAAAAAAGGAAGACCCAGGGAAATATAGGCCAGTCAGTCTCACCTCTGTGCCCAGCAAGATCATGGAGCAGATCCCCCTGGAAACTATGCTGAAGCACATGGAAAAGAAGGAAGTGACCGGTGACAGTCAACATGGCTTCACTAAGGGAAAATAGTGTCTAAAAAATTTGGTGGCCTGCTACAGCAATGTTACAGCACTGGTGGATAAGGGAAGAGCAACTGACGCCATCTACCTGGACTTCTGCAAGGCATTGCACACTGTCCCATGCAACATCCTTGCTTCTAAATTGTACAGACAGGGATTTGATGGATGGACCACTCGGTGGACAAGAAATTGGCTGGATGGTCGCACTCAAAGAGTTGTGGTCAATGTCTCGATGTCCAAGTGGAGCCCAATGACAAATGGTGTTCCTTAGGGGTCGGTACTGGGACCAGCATTGTTTAGCACCTTTGTTGGGAACGTGGACAGGGGGGTTGAGTGCACCCTCAGCAAGTCTGCCAGCAACACCAAGCTGTGTGGTGCAGTGGACACGCTGGAGGGAAGGGATGCCATCCAGAGGGAGCTGGACAGGCTTGAGAGGTGGGCCTGTGCGAACCTCATGAAATTCAACAAGGCCAAGGGCAAGGTCATGCACGTGGGTCAGACAATCCCAAGGGCAAATACAGGCTGGGCAGAGAATGGCTTGAGAGCAGCTCTGAGGAGGAGGACTTGTGGGTGTTGGTGGACGAGAAGCTCAACGCGAGCAAGCAATGTGCAATCACAGCCCAGAAAGCCAATTATGTCCTGGGCTGCATCAGAAGAAGCATGGCCAGCAGGGGAAGGGAGGAGATTCTGTCCCTCTACTCTGCTCTTGTGAGACCCCACCTGGAGTTCTGTGTCCAGCTCTGGAGCCCCAAACATAAGAAAGGCCTGGACCTGTCGGAGCAGGTCCAGAGGAGGGCCACAAAGATGATCAGAGGGCTGGAGCACGTCTCCTATGAGGACAGGCTGAGAGAGTTGGAGATGTTCAGCCTGGAGAAGAGAAGGCTCTGGAGAGACCTTATAGTGGCCTTCCAGCACCGAAAGGAGGCCTACAGGAAACATGGGGAGGGAGTCTTTACCAGGGAGTGTAGTGATAGGATGAGGGGCAACGGGTTTAAACTGAAAGAGGGTAAATTTGGCTTAGATATCAGGAAGAGGTTCTTTACTGTGAGGGTGGTGAGGCACTGGAACAGGTTGCCCAGAGAAGTTGTGGAGGCCCCATCCCTGGAGGGGTTCAAGGCCAGGCTGGATGGGGCTTTGAGCAAGCTGGTCTAGTGGCAGGTGCCCCTGCCTGTGGCAGGGGGTTTGGAACTCAATGATCTTCAAAGTCCCTTCCAACCCAAACAATTCTATGATTCTATGATTTTGAGATCAGGCACTTTCTTTAGCAGTGAATCACTAGGAAAAAGATGTGATTCAATATTTATAATCACACTTTTAAAATGTGTCCAAGAATTCAGGCATGTGATTCTTGATGGGAATATTAATTATTAATCAGGCAAACAAAATGGCTGTAGTTCAGAACATGATGATTTCTGGTGGGATGATCGAGTAAGTTTAGGCAGGGCACTGAATACTGATTTACATTTCTTCATTCAAGCTGTCTGCTGAGTTAATATACGCTACCAGTGCTAAATCAAATAGCTGAAAAAAAGCATTAATAGCTACCAGAAAAAATAATTCTGATATTTTTTTCACTATGGTACCTTAGCCTTTTAGATACTAAATAGCACTAAGAAATTCTCAAATTCAGTTGGCTCAGAAAACAAACCCACCTCATATCTTGAAATACGTTCTTCAGGACTTAATTTTTCACTGACAAGCTGCACAGCCTTTGAAATGGAGGCCTCAAGTTCTTTCTGGGATTCTTCAAAATTGAGCAAAGCCTCCTTCTCTGAGGGTCTCTTCTCAGATTTGGACAAGATGTTGTTCATGTCACCCAAGACAGCCTTAGAAGAAAAAGATTCTTCAGAATATGCCTTAGTGTCAGTAATTACACACAGCTATTGCTTCATAACATCACTCAAGTTTTTCAAGTTGAGATACTGATCTTTGAAATGTTCTAGTTTTTGCCCCAGCAAGAGTCTGGGAGACTGATTCCAACAGTATAAACCCTTTTTTTATTTTACATCAATGAAAAAGAGTCTTCCTAATCACATAATGCTAAAATTAGAGACATCTGTGTGTATAAAGTACAATAACAATAAAAAAGGAGTACCTCTATTTTGTCTCTGGCTTCTTTAATTCGTGTCTGCAGCCCAGTGGTGTAAGAATGCTGTTGGGACACCTGACTTGAAACATTTTGTGTCAGGGATTGCAATATCTCTTCTGCTGCCACAACTTGTTCTTGGCATGAGGCTCCCCTTTCAGCCAAGCTCTGGTTGAAGGAAAAGCATTAGAAGCTTCTACAGTATTTATGTCTTTTTGTTTAAAGTAACTGAATGAAAAAAACAACTTTGATCATGGATCATCAGTATTTGGTCAAGGAAAAATCTTATATTCCAGTTATGGTCAGTGCATTGCACTGCAAAATCTCTGCATAGAGAGAAAGAAGTCTGCTGCCATCCACAGGGGGTTCTGTTTGCTGAAAGTCTTTCCGTCAATGTGATACCTCCCGTGTTTTTGCCTCAGAGCCAATTAGAAGTATTTTTGAAACACAGTCTCCCATCCAAACAGCTCTCCAAATGAATGTACAAACCACACATTTGGATATGCATTGTCTGATTATGAAGTCATCCAAAAGTAAGCACATATCAAGGCTCAAATTTTCTTGCAGTATTCAGTACTAAAAGGCAGGAAGCAGCTGGGTATTTTGCATGCAAAAGTAATGCGCAATATTTAAATATTTATCATGAAATGTCATTATTAGAGCTGGCTTAATCTATGAATATTCAACACGTTTTCCTGTTTGAAGTTGTCAATTAGCATTCTTCTAATGATAATCGGTGCTTTATTCTGGATCTCAACCTAATGTACCACAGGTAATAAGCAACCTGATTTCTTCCGCTCACAGACACAAACATACAATACCAGTGACATTTTGGGGGGATGTATTTTGGGGTGTCTTTTGTTACTTCGCTGTTTTTAACAAACTAGTGTCATACTGCAAAATGAGACTTATTCTATAAACATAGGCCCACAATTACAAAAAGATGAATAGATTCTTTTCATAGGCTCACACTCCTAATTCTGTCAACTACATACAGGGCAAGAAGGCACAAACCAAAAGTAAACTAACACTAATTTTGGTTCACAGTTATTGTAGATGGATTTAATGTATCAAAGAAGATGTCAGTTTAATTTTAGCCCTTAGATAGAAGAGCTCCAATCAAACCTTCTTCTGGTAGACACCTTCCTACCATTAGATTATACTGGCCCTGCTGCAGAAATAGCAAAAGGCAACACAGGACAGTGCTTCAGCTTCCCCAGTGCAAAGTTTGGCACCTTTGTTCAGTCTCACCTTCACTGGCAGGTGAAGAAATCAGACTTTGTACTGAAGCTGCTGAGTTATATATACAGATTTCCCCCCACCATCTGCTAGGGGGAGGAAACAGTAACCCCTGGCAGAGAGACATGGGAAACAATAGAGATTAGTGGAAGTAAGAAGAAAGTCATCAGTGCTCATTGTGGATGTTTAGAGCAACTGCCTATAAGCTGAGATGCACAAATTACCCAGCATGCTGCTGAAAATAATTCAAGTATTCCAGTTTTTGACAGGTAAACCTTGAATAGAGCCAAGTTGTCCCAAACCTCCTCCCTGCACTGCAGGGTAGATGATAGAAAGCACGGTATGACTAGGGGAAATTCTCGACTTGGCACCTCGCAAAGTTTTAGTCTGCTGCAAATGCAGTGCTGGAGAGAGGGTAATTAATATCACTCAAGAGCAAGCTGCTGATCAGTGGCACCAACAGCACTTCATTGGCACCTGCTTGTCATCTGGACTCACTGATGTTGGAAGAATCATTTATAGCTGATCTGGGAGTGATCCTGGCAAATAACATCAAAACACTAGCATTGTCTTGAATTTTTACCAATGTTACAGCACAAAATCCACATTCATTTCTGCTTCACTGATGATGGCTCATTTTACCCCAGCCACTAATCTGTGCTGAAAGATAAGAATCTGATGAACAAGTATTTTAAGCAGTGTATTTCCATTTTCACCTGCAAACGTTCCTCCATCTCAGGTTGCACAGGCTCCTCATGACTGATCTCGCTAAGCAGGCGTCCAATCTCTCCTGCCCAGCTGTCCACACCTCCAAGGAGCTCTTCAATTTTCTCCAGGCTCCCAGGAAGCTCCCTGGTCTTTTCAGCAGCATCTGAGCTCTCTTCATCAAGCTATAAAGACAGAGCAGAGTAAGATGTTCATACCCATCATTGGTTCATGGGTTTCTCCACTATCCTCCTGCAACACAGTCACAACTTAGGTTACTTTCCAGCTTTTGCACCCAACAGGGAACAAAAGAGAAATAAATGCCAAACATACTGGTAAATACATCATATGAAGCTCAGTTCTTCAACCCTGAGAGCAGGTGGGACAGCACAACCTGTGCCCATATGGCCCACCCTCTCCTCTATAAAGCAAGCAGCCACAGCCACACTACGATGGTGAATAACTCCTGGGTTGCAGCATCCCCCAGCCTATGCCAGGGAATTGTCCAACAGAATAACAGCTGGTGTTGGTCAAATCCAGACCAGGGAGCATGCTAACAGTTTAATGGTACTGGCAGTCACAGGCGAGAGCTCAAACATTTGCCCTACGTTATAGCCATAATGTCACAAGCAATGCCAGAGAAATAACTCCTGAAGTCCTTCAGCCATTGTAACGGTGGAAGAGGCCTCTTTATCACTGCTTTCTGAATATAATTCCTAAAAGCATCTCTTACTGCAGGTATTTCTAGGAAACTCTGGATTTCCCTCACACTTGGGAACATGTTTCCTTTGATCTTCTTGCATTCTCATTAAGCTCATCTCCTACAAAAACATTTTAATTTTTCACCACCATTTATTGTCACAGCAGGACCTTTAATAAATGTCAATGAAAGGCTCAACTTAGAAAGTTAGGAGCTCTAATATTCCCAGGCAGAGCAAAAATGTTGTTCTTGTGAAAGCATTCTAGGAAACGTAATATATGTAACATTAAGCAGGTTGAATAGGAATTTACAGTAGACTAAAAACCTGTCAAGTGACCTGGTGTAAAGTTGCACAATCCTAGAAATATCTATGCAGCAATAATTACTCTCTACTAGCTGAGGCAGAGATTATACAATTTAGCAAAGGCTCCCAAGCTCTTAACAAATTGATTACTTCAATCTCTAAAACTGAATAAAGAGGTTTATCCTGCAATAAGATTTCCTTTTATAAGTGGTTTTATAATTTCCATTCAAAAAATCGAACATTTTCCATTGTGTCATAAATAGCATTTAACTGAGTCACAAAGACTTAAGAATAGGATGCCTCTGTGTATTCTCTATTCTTCCTGTTTTAAAACTGGCAATACCTAGTTGACCAAAAGATTTATTAATCTCTGATTAGCTAGCTGATAAGTCTAGAAAACATGATTTTGAAGGCTGCATACCAAGAGAGTCATACAAAACTAGTCACTTACAAAGTGTGTCCGCTTGATGAACTTAGCCCATCTCCTGTTCAGTTTCTTCAGTTCTTTGGCAATATTTGATCCAACCTGCTCTTTGCTGACTTCGATGAGATGGTTTCCAGCTTCATTTAAGGAACCATGAACTGAATTCCACTTTGCCAGGATCTCAGCAGGGATCTAGACAGAGGTACTGAAATCATTTAAAGCAGAACTCCGCCAAAAGTTTATTTCCAAAATGGGGAACAGAAAAGCAACAACAACAACAACTGTCATGTATAATGCTTTCCTTCCGGGAGGCTTCCAAGTATCTCTGTCTGTCATTACAAAGAGAACTGCAACCACATACCTCTTTTGGATGCTCATTTCTTTTTTCTTCCAGCCATGTCTTTAGTAAGTGGATGTTTTCTGTATAATTACTCCAGGAACACAGGACTTTCTGTAGGGTAGTATTTACATTGGAAATATAGTCTCTGCACATAGAAATCTTTGACTCCACTGTCTTAAAACGTTTGCTAATTTCTTGAGGATCTCCAGCTAGGACATCAAATAGGGAATATCGTTATACATTCAGAAACAGAGAGGTTGATTACATAGAAGCAGTATTTTACACAAAAAATAGTGGAAATTAAAACTGGTGACAGCACATCAGTTCAAAATAGAGGTCTTCATATCAGTTTATGTGCACAAACTTACCTAAGTCAGGATCGCGTATGGTTTTGTTTTTCAAATCTTCACAGATGTGAGTAGCAGTTTCTAGTTGCGTTTCAAGTCTCTTTTCTTCAATGAAATTCTGCCCAAAGTGAAAAGTAATTGGCATGGGTAAACTAACCCACATAAAACTAGGTAGGAAATGCAGCTTGGGATATATTTTTTTTTTTAACATGAGCCTATAACCTGCAGGTTAAATGTAAACTGAGCAAAGCCCATCCAGCAACTCACCTGCACCCTTTAGTCTGAAACAGACCTGATCTTTTTTCTGCTCATGCAGTGAGTAACTTAAATGGGAGTAAATTCCTGAATGCCACTGCCTCAGTCACAGCCACACATGAATCAGGACTGCTTATTTCAAAAACTTACAGCCCTAGGGCAATATTAAGAAATGGCATCTAGAAAAAGTCAGGCAATATTTAGTGACAAGTCAAAAAAGTGATGAAAGTGAAAGGTGGGTTTCCCTGCATACACAGAAGTATCAATGTGCCTCGTTCCTGCCACAGATCAAGTAAAACTGAGGATGGAAAGGATGAGAGAGTAAGAAATGGGAGCAGAGGAGGAGACTCGTGCTTTGAACATTCATCCAGGGAATGAGGGTCCATCCTCAGCCCTCTCTGTCTGGGCTGCATTTCACCCCAGAGCTCCCTACTCCTACAAATATCCTACCTAGCAGGCTACAAAACAACCTTTCTTGTGGCCATAATGGACCTGAGCCACCATGCCACCACTCAACCACAACCACACATCATGGTACCAGAGGGAGAGCAAGGAACAAGCCTTAAACTCCTTGGGAAAGTTCTATATTCTATCAACTTGGGAAAGACCACGAACCATGACTTTAGAAATAATACGATAATAAGTATTTATGAAACCAACTGAATTAAGAAACTCAGTGCAGATTAACTCTGTATTCCCTTCTCACCACAGGGTAAGGTTAACACTGCTCAGGAAAACTGATATTTTATACAACCTCTTGTTGCTTCCTTCCACAGTACTGACGGTGGTGAAATTCCCAGTAATTTAACTAGGAATTTGCCAGTCTGAAAAGGTTCTGAGAAACTCTTTAGAAATTCCACTAAGATGGAATTCACAAGGAGTCCCATAAACTGGAGATGGGACAAAACTGATGGCATCAGCATTTTCATCTCTCTGCCTCTATTCTTGATGCAACTTTGGCAGTATTTGGTGCAGGGTAATCCATCCCCTCCTGTAGGCCTACACGTGGCATCATTTTAATAACTTGAGCTCAGAAGCTGAGCTAAGCACAAAATATAACAAAACAAGACTTGAATAGTCACCGCAAAGCATACGGAGGTAAGGAAGATGGAAAAGGAAGAGGCAACAGCAAAAGGCAGTATTAGCCAGCACTGTGGGTAACTGTTGGTTTTGAAAACAGCAACTACAGAACTACCCCAGAGAGGTCTGAGTTAGGGAACAGCTGCTACTGCTGGCACTATAAAGAGTCTAGAAAGAAAGAGATCTTCCCAATAAAGAATAAAAAAGGGCAGAGAGAAAATTACAGTCACAACTCACTCTATTTCTTCGAACTGAAGAAAGAACTCTCACTCAGAGGAAAATGGGAAGACCTGGAGAAAGTTTCTATGGAAGTCTACCTGTCTGTCTTTGCATAAATCCCAGATCTCACAAGTCTACCATGCTTCTACCGACTATCATAGTATCTTCAGATGAGGACAGACACAAGCTTGAATCAAAGAGAAGTGGGGAAGAATAATTATTGTCAGGGTGTGATACATATATTTTAAACTTACATTCCAATTTTCCAGCAGTGATTCCACAGACTCCTTTGTCCCATATTTTATATCCCAGATATTTAGTTTTAACATCACCTCATTGGCAATAGCTGAGCACAGTCCATAGTGGTATTCAAGAAAGGTGTTGGAGTTTGTGAAACAAATATTACTAAATCTGCAAACAGTGAAACGTTCCAAAAGTTGAGTCAAAATAATTGGATATAGAAAGCATTAATGTATTGAGTTTTAAGCCTACAAATTCAGAATTACATATATGTAAACATTATTTTGTTATGACAGGAGTAAAATTTTAAGATAACAACAGTTCTTCTTTTTTTTTAAGTAGCAACAATTTTGAGTCAATATTGACTGCTCAATTTATGAAAAAAACCTTAAATGCCCAGAAAAGGGGCATCTATTATCTATATGTCAAAGGGTCTCAGGTGACGGACACAGATTCACCGGTCATTTTGAAAATACCCTCCAACAGCTATATGGGGTTGCACAACCTGTGGATCTCAGTGATTTTAAAAGGTGGAAATTAAAAATCAGAGAAAGAATCCCCACACCCAGAGAAATTTTACATTCAAAATATTCATATTTCCTACATCTAGTGGGTGTTTCCTATCCACACCAGCACAGGGCATCTGAAAAGGTCCTGTCAATGAGCTCCACTTTGTACACATAATTAGACATTCATTGCACCAATGAGTGAACCTGATTGCTCCACTTGACAGTTAATCTGTGCTTAGGTGGAAAATACTCTTTTTCTCCAAGGCATGGATAAATTATGTGCTTTGTTCAGAATAGCAGAACAAGTCAATAGCACAGCAAGAATACAACGTAGTCAAAGTAGAGGGAATTTGAGGATCACAACCTTCTTTTCATTTCCTCTAACTTTTCAGGCAAGACTAGTGGCATATTCTTCTCATCTTCATTCTTAAATGATTGAAGGGTGTCCAAGTGAGAATCAAAACAATCCATCAAGCCCTGGGAAGAAAAAGGCATAGTAAGCCATTCAATTTAATCTAGACTATTTCATCTGGGAACCTGCAAATCACCTGCCATTAGAGTGAGAGCTATTAAGAACTAGTCAGCACAAGGAAATCTTCCAGTGTCTTTACTTATTAAAGTACAATGAAAGTATTTACCTCATCACCTTCTAAAGCGTATATTTAGTGCAGTACTATCTGATTTCTCTTATCATTGAGCATCTAGTTAAATATAAGGAACATGAATGTACACTACCCATGCCATCAGATTTTTCTGCACTTTCGCTATCATCTTTAGTACAAAAAAGTGTCATTGTAACAGTTGCAAGATACTAAGTTATTCTTTGCTACGTGTTAACAAAGACTGACAGCAAAACCTGTTGAATATCAACATGTTATGTCACACTTCTTTAATACTTCATTTGACTGCTCAATAAATTTCCATCTAACACCATGCTGATAGCATATCACATTCAGCCTCTGATGGCCTGTATCACATGATTGGGGAACATTTTATGGGCGTGTGTCTCAGCATCAAATCGTCTATGTAAAAATAAAGCATAAAATGCATTGCACAGAATATAAGCATATTTATAAGTGGCATATAAAGAAATACACTAAAAGTTCATTTCTACGTAATAAAACCTGCCACAAAGCATGTTCACGGAAATGGCTGAATCCTGGGGCAGCCCTCAACCCCAAAAATAGTGCATAGATTTTAAACACTGGATTTTGTAACCTTAATACTATTCCAGTCAGACCATCATGAGCATTGGTGGGCAATTTCCAAGATCTTAAGTGAAAGTAAAATTTCCATTATAAGGGACCACCTTGGCAACAAGATTCCTATAAAAGACACACTAAAGGGACTGACTATAAGGAGGGGAAAAAAAATTCTCGACAGAATGTCTTTCCATCAAGATAAGTGAATTTCACAGAAATTAAGTAACTTGGGTTTCTTCTTAAGGAACTTAATGATTTTATCTACATATTCAATGGGAAAAAAGAAATCCCTAAACCAAGGACATCTCTCTCTGTCTCATTCTTAGAAATGCTTTGATGACTTAGGCTGAACAACAAAAATCATAGATCATATGGCTAAGGTCTGACAAAGCTGTTATCAGTTAAAAAGCCCTCTCTCATATCGGCAGCCAACTAGCAATGGTACAAAAAAAGTGACGTTATCAAGCCACTCGCAAGAATGTCCATTTCCCATTCTTTCAAATTCACCTTAAGGACATGTCACAAAAACATCCAGCTTCCCCCTTGCAGAGGGGAGCATTATGATGATCAACCAGGCATCAACACATCTACTCTTCTTAAAGCTTTCAAACTCAAGAGCACATTTAAACTATTATCAGTGTAAAGATTTCAAGATCAGAATAAATAACTTGTATGGTTCTAAGGTATCAAAATACCTTCCATTGCTTTGAATGGAATTACAGAATGATTCAGCAAATACTTAGCTTTAAACACACAAACTGCGTGAACTCACTGGAATGTAACCTTGAGCCCAAGTGCTTTTCGGAATAGGTATGTATTAAGCATAGATTTAAAGATAAGGATGCATTACCCTGTGTTATTACTTAACAAACAAACAAGTTGCAGGAACCACATAAAAAAGAATACCATAATTTACTCATTCAGATAGTACTCAAATCTAATCTCACCCCAGTGAAGTCAGAAACCTTCCTTATATACTCATGCAGTTATTTAATTAAACTCATCATTGTTCAAAGGTATGTTCAGAAGAGCTTTTCATCTTCAGAAGATAAACACATCCATATCACTTCCCAAAATGTCAAATAGAAATTCCATAACAAGTGCTTTGCTAGGTCAGACTGAAGCAGAATGTTCCTTTATGATCAGCATACCTTAAATATTACAATTATTTCTCTGAAGACAAACATTGCTTTAAACGGGTCCTGCAAATCAGGCAAATCTTCTGCCTGCAGATGTTCTACCTCCTGAAGCCAGGCCTCAATGCTATCCAAAGGGGAGGGCAACATCTGGTCCAGCTTTGCTTTCCATTCATTAATCTTAAAAAGGAAAACAAATCATTAAATTTCTCACTATTATTTTCTTCCCTATCCCCACGATACTGATATATGCTCCATAAGCTGATGCTTCAGACATCCCCCCCAAAAAAAAACCCCACCTTTCATCATTTAGAAAAGCAGCTTCCAGTGAAGTCAGCTGCAAATCAGCTATGTTTACCTGAGACACAGATTTGCTCCCCAGCCTGTAATCTCTGTAACACTACAGACAATTTGGCAGTAACTATCCTTGGCTGGTGACCATCTCAAGGCCCAGCATCAGGGAAATTTATAGTAAATTAGTTGCAGAACCAGGGAACCAGGGATGCTCTGGACAGCTTTCCATCATGGGGCTGACAAGGGAACTTGCTCTTCCATAAAGAGCAATTACTCGCAAGGCCCAACACATCCCACGTGCAGCAGAGGTAGACAACATAGCCAACCTCATTGCCAAGCACTGACCAACCAGATCTCACTATGTCACTATCCCTGCCGTGGGAAAGAATATATTAACACACTTTTCCCAGCTGCATCATTATCTGAGCCATAATTATGTCCCAAAAGAACCTTTTAAGCATAAATAGGTCAAAAACTTTGATCAGAAGAGTGCTCAAAGCTAATCAGATGCAGGCTATTTTTCGCAGATGTCTCAATCTCCTGAGGCTCAGGAGGCAGAAGAGTAATACACAGTAACTTTCTGCCTCCTCTTGGGCACTGTACACCACCTCCCCACTTTTCCCTGTCCAAGTTACTGGGGTAGACTTAGGCTTCTCCATCAAACATGATCGTGCTGGTAACAAAGTGAGCTAGAAGTGCCTCTGACCTGAGAGATCAGTTTATCCCACTCTTCTCTCATCCGCTGCTGGCTTTCGCTCCGCTCAGCTTCACTTCTTTTTGATAACAACACAGGCAGAAAGGGTGTTTTTTCTTGGTTAAATGCTTCCATAAATGACATCATTTCCTAGGGATAAAAAGGAAGAGTAATTCATAGAAGACTTCAGATGGAAGCTCATGGAGCCAAGTACTGCCTTTGAACACATTGGTATGACTTCCATTAACTTCAAAGGGTGTGATGCATGGAAAGGCAAGATAGCAGGAAAGAGGCATACTTGTCTCCAGGCAGTACTTGGGTCTGACATTGTAGGTGCCATTCACTAACAAAATCTATATTTAATATAATGTCAGTGCGGTCAGGACACGGTTCTCCCCTCCCACCAAGAGAAAGGGAAAATTCCTCCCCTCACAGTCCCCCACGGGACATTTCATTACAAACTCTGGCTACAATGTAAACGAAAGAAAACTTTACTTCAGGCACAATCTACAGCAAACATTTCAACTAATCCGCTACAACACTAGTTGGGTAAAATCTACTGTTGTTATTATCACAGAAATGGGAAAGGCAACCCTGTAAAGGGCCGATGGGCTTGAATCTTGCCCAAGTCTTCAACTATGTCAATTAATTAAAAGACACTACTTTACTCTCTCCAAAAACACTTACTCTGGTCAGAAACCAAGCAGCGTATATCTGTTTCCTAACAGAAAGAATTTTATCCTATCCTTTCCTCAGTCATTTGAGGGCATTTATCAAATTCATTGTCATATTTCCAACTCTTGTTTTAAAGTTTATTCAACATTTCAGTTTAGGTAATGAAGATGAAAAGCTATGTTTCTAGGAATATTTTTAATATTCTTTTTTGCGAAAGCAGTTAAATATGAAACACAACTTACTTTGTATTTCTGGTAATATGTTTCATTCTCTGTGTCGATCAGCAACTTTGCTAACTTCTCCTCCTGTGCCGCCAACCAGCTCACAGCCTCCCTTACTTTTTCCTGGTAATTAGAGCAGAAAATTTCATTTTTCGATTTTGCAAGCCTTGTTTTTAATTTACATTGTGCCATAAAACAACACACATTGAGCATATGACAAACTCCGTTCAAAGCTATTGAAAAACAAATAATAATTCCTGGGGACTGTAAAGAGTTTTGGGTCAGGGACTATTACAGAGCAAGGCCAAAGTTTTAAACCTGGCACCTGGATATATGAAGGCATCAAAAGCAGAGCCTGACTGCCATCCTACTGAAAGCAGAGTATCAGTATGGAGATACGTGACTAACCAATTAATATCTAGACTGTCATAGAAGAATATAGAGAATATAAAACTTGGTTTTCCAACCAGTGTGATCTGTGAGTGACAACTTCTGTCTGCTTTACATGAGTAAAGCTGGTTGTTCTGCACATTTGCAAATCTGTCTGCCTCTACCCCAATATTTACATACAGAGTACAGAGCACATATGAAGACAATCAGGCTTGAAAATGTCCTCTCTAATAGTTAAATGAAAAAACAAGCCAACCCGCACAGAAATTCCACCTGTATCATCAAAAATCTATCACACTTAGCCTTGAGTACCACACAGGAGCATCATAAGGTCCAAGCCAATTCAACCCTGTCAGTAGCTGAATCTGAGTATCAAACCATGACCTACTATCTAACTGTTACTGAGTCAGGTTATAAACTGTGCAAAGAAAGTACTGATACTCTTGGCATCTATGATGCACATTCATTTAAAAATGCCTTAGTGATAAATCACATTACATACCTGCATATCTTCCTCAGACTCAGGCAAATTCCTGGAGTATTGCAAAAACTGAGCCACATAAGTCATGATTGATTTTTCATCCGGATTCATAATGTCAACATCTACAAGAGCCAATACACCATTTACATAATCACGCAGCCCTCTAGGCCTGATCACATAATTACACGCTATACTGCAGTTATTAAAATACATTACCATAAACATGTTTATTTCACAGCAGCTCAGTTAACATACCATTGACAGAAATTAATATGTAATGAACATTTTTTCCTTGGGAATGTTTTAATATAACATGATGAACTAATGAACAAGTTTCTCCCATGAACAGGAAAGTTTCATACCCTTTCTTCTGCATATCATTCCTGCATTTGCTGCCAATTCAAAAATCCAACAAATCTTAAGTACAGTTGGTGTTATAAATTAAAGAATCTCCGGTTTGAGCATTACAGTAAAGATTAAATAGAGATCATTTCAAACTTAAGCATAACCTTAGTTTTTTCTGCATTACAATCAACACATACAGGATTATATTACTCTCACTCCTGATAACAAAGACCAAAAACAAGCAGATCATTTACCTTCAGGTTCAAGAAGCCGTGGAATATTCAGCTCCAGTTCTGCAATACTGAAAGCCTCTTTCAGGTTTTCTTTATTGCTTCTAGATTTTGCCTTCTCCAAATCAACTAGACCTGGTCGTAAGTTTTGGATGATGGCTAAAAAAGGCAGTCCGCTTCGCCAACTTGACTTGAAATCAGTCACATCAATAGACGCGTGCCTATCCCAAAAATGATTAGAAACAAAATGTCATAGCCTGTTTTCTCAGATGTCCTAAGTACAAATTTAGAAGTAAAATATAAATTCAGTAAAATGGGGTATGAACCAAATCTAGGGAGTTATAAAGAACCTTGCCACTGAATTTCTACAGAAGCTGGGTCAGACAACAATACAGCCAGTACTACCAGTCGCTACAATTATATATATTTTTACTATTTTTGCAAAATGACTCAATGTTTTTATCTTATGTTGCATTCAGACGATACAGCCTTTCTGATCCAATAGCCTTTCTGAACGTCAACTTTGTGCTTAGTATCTGTGCAGTCTATAGGATAGTAAAACAACAAGCAAAGCACTGAAGAGCATGCAGATATTTGACTGTAAGGGCACCGAGTATTGGAATCACCTCTGTCATTTTAGAAAATCCAGAACTTAAGAGAGATCTATTACTGCAAGAAAGATATTTCTTTTTCTCTTATTTAGCTTTGTGTCTCTAAAACACTTTCTATTAAGCAGTTCCTAGACAGTGCTGTGAAGTGTCCAGCTCTGAAAGCTACAGGGAATTCCAGGACAACTTTCAAGAAATGGCTCACGTATTATGAGTATGTTACGGCATGGAAAAGATGTGGGGTTTCAGATGATCAAATTTTGTTACACAGCAATGGGCCAGGACCTACAAGATCTGTTCTTTTACTAAAAACTACAGGATTTACTGATAACAAAAATCATTCAAGGTAATCACAGTTCGGAAAGGATGCTACAAAACAGACAGCAATATTGCCAAAAAAAGAAAAACAAGCAAAAGAAAAAGGAAGATTTAATGTACAGAGAGATGACTTTTTACATGCCAATCAGTCTCATCCTCGTGGTTTGGCCTCAGCCAGCAACAAAGACCCACACAGCCGCTCGCTCCACTCCCACAGCCGTGGGGAAAAAAAAAAATCGACAGGGCAAAACTTGTGGGTTAAAATAGTGCAATTTAACAGAACAGCAAAAGGGAAGATGAAAACAAAACAATAACCCCGTTAAAGGGATGTGAAGACACGATTACAGTACCGCCGCAAAGCGCACCGACCGGACCCGCACCGCCGCAGCCCACCCCCGAGTGGCGACTGCTCTCCTCGCCCCGGCTACCGCCTCTTATAGCCCGGGCGTGGGTCACGTGGGATGGAATGCCCGCCCCCTGCCGGCTCCGGGGGGAATTAACCCCATCCCTGCCAGAACCAGGACATCCTGATAAAACACAGCTAAAAGAGAAACTTCAGTGCCTGAAAACATTCTCCCAGCAGAAAGTGTCTGATGTGCTGATGAAGGCCTTTATCTCCCACTAACAACATGGAATATTAGTAGGATGTTATTAGAACATAAAGGAACCAAAGAGCTGGAGAGAAAGGGCTGACGTTATCGTAAAATACATTTGAAACACCTTGGAGTGAAGCAGTAGCCCTTAAAGAAAATGTAAAGCCTGCCCCTTGCAAGAAATACCTGCATCTGTTCTAGATTGTGTGCTGTGAATAATCCCACTGAAATCAACCGAGCTATCTGTACATCAAACATAAGCAAACTTCTTGTTAGAATCAGGGACTTGAACCTCTCATATTCACTAGGGTCCTTCTTGGGGATCATGCAGTGTTTTGACAGAAAAATACAAGACGTGGGAATCCTAGAAGTCCTACATTTTCCACTGAAAAAAAACCCCCACCTAATTAATGAAACTTTGTTAACTAGTGCCAACCACAAGGATTAAAACTATCAAATCATGTAAACATTCCACCAGACTTATCACACAGAAGCCCCTAAAAGAGAAAAGCCAAACAATTTACACTGTGGTATTTTCTTAGTAGGATTAGCTTTGCTTTATTGTATTTAAAGGGATCATGTCAAAACATTTAGGGTCTGATTCATGGTAAAAGTACTGATAACAACATCTGAAATCTAAAGGTTTTTCTGTTAAGCTGTCACCAAGTAATGTTAAAAAAAGAGGAGAAAATATCACCACATTTAGAGGAAAGCCATAAATACAACCTGCAACATACTATTTATAAGTCTTGGATGGAACTTACAGTGAACACTGTTCTTTTGCCCACAACAAAAGAGCCTTTGTAGCAGAGATCTTCCACCGTTCCTTAATTTTAGCACTTTTTTTAGCTTGTCTGCTTGCCTTTGAAGAGGAGTCAACAGCACTTGAATGATCAAGTGAAGGCTGATTGTAAGTACAAGCAAGTGTTCTGGCAAGTTCTTCAATCTATCAGAGATGATGGGAGAGTTAATCAGGCTTCAGTGAAAATTTACCAAGACATCAATAGCAGAAAACCACAGAGACTTAGAAAGGACTCAATGACAGCTGTAATAGCAGTTCCCTGCCTCCAAAGACCAGATCAATTTTTTTTGTCCGTTCAACCTGAACTATTTAAGGCTGAATCCCCATCTTTAGGTGATTTTTTGGCAGGAAATATACACACAAAGACTTCCATGTTATACTGTGGGTACCAGCACTGGCATCAGGGGACCTTCTCACACAGTGCGCTTTTCTAGTCCTCCTACCAGTGAAAGTAGCTTGTGGCAGCTGTGTTTTCTGCTGTCAACAGCGTCATGTATGAGCCATGCTCAAAGTTTGCCTGCTCACTCAGAGTGCAAGAAAAACCTACTTGATAGACATAAGAGATCTACATTTGGTTAGAGAAGCTTGGTTTAGGTAAAAAGATAATGCATACAGCTATGTGCAGCGCAAGAACCTTCAGCACCCAAATTCTTTGACCAAGAAAAGTATGAGCTACATTTAATACTGTTGAATAACCTTACTTCTTAGTGCTCTCCTGAGCCCCAGTCACCAGTTCACTCCCAGTGTACCTATGTTAATTCATTGTTGGGCTCTTGTTAGAAGACAGTTTGGCTCCATCATCCTCTACAACACGATTAAAGCAAGGCCCTGTGCTTCCAAACACCCCTCCTCCCCATAACTTCATGACACACAAGCAATATGCTCAGCATCTTGTACAAGAAACATCACCATGACAAGCTTCACATTATTCAGGCACCTGGTACTGAAAATAATAATAGCAAGAATTACACGTTGTACGCACAGCCAACACTGAAGAGGGAGGCTGCCCTTGATGGAGATGGACGTGAGCCACTTTGCACTATTTTCTGTATTTGGGGCTTAATCATTACAGACCTTAAAGACATAGGCAGAGTTTAGCCTATTTTTCAACTGCTTACTTACAAAAAAAATCTCAGTATCTTTCCTTCCTACCATTTGCAGGTAGATACTGTTCATCAGGCCGTAATGCCATCATTGCATTGCTGAAGCAGCTCAGAGGCACAGGCAAGACACACTGGTGCATCGCCTCCCTGAGTCACCACTACAAGATTTCAGAAAATAATTTTCTGCTTTGTACTAATTCATCTCATTTGGCAACCACATAAGTCAACACATTTTTGTGCTTTTTCCCTCTACTGAAACTCTCTTACATTGCTGAAATACTTACATGAAAATGAAATATTATTGTCCAAATTAGGCCAAGCACAATGGAAGGTTTTCCTTCAATAATGTCAGCAACATGAATATTTATGAGCTTGAGCTAAAGAAAAAAAAAAAAAAAAGGATCATTGTTAACATAGAAAATGTTCCACCAGCTAAACTGGCTTTAGTTGTGAATTTTGAAGTTAATACTCACTGATCTGCTCTTTAAAAATTTCAAAGCATTTTCTATGTTGCTTCTGCACTGGAAGGTATTAAATCCTTTTTCCCGTGGCTGTGAAGCAAAAAGAACAGGTTACATCCTCATCTGTAAAAAATAATTTTATTTTATATTTTGATAAGGTAAGTCCTGCAAAGAGTCACAAATTGCTTCGGACCAACTTATTTCAGTCTGTTTCAGTGTTAGTAGTGTAAGAGTAAGTTACTTGCAAATAGCTCTATGACTCCAGAGGGATCATTCATATGCTTACGATTAAGCATATCCATTCATATGCTTATATGCTATATTCATATGCTATATTCATATGCTTACGATTAAGCATATCCAGAAATCTTTGCTGGATTTGACGAAGGGCTGAGGTAATATCTTTATTACTGTGTCTTACCAGATGTTGACCTGAAAGCACTTCCAACAGATCCAAAAGCAAATGTCCTTGCTGTATGTCTGTATACAGGTCTGAGATAACAGAAGAAGGTGTATGCTGCAAAATAAATTTCAATGCTTGTCACACCATCTTTTCCCATTTTGAACCCAACACACTACAGAACATCACAGGTTACTCTGTAGTTACACAACAGAGTGAGCTGAAATATAAATCCTGCACCTAATCAGCCATATTCTGCTTCTTCTAACCCATTATGTGTGTCTCTTATTCCCCCTTGTCCTGCCTCTTAGTTTTATAAGGGTTATTTTAAGTCCCATTTTCAAGTATTCCTACTTTTCAAGGAGGTATGTGGCAAAAAAACCCAAGAACTTTGAAAAAGGGAAAGTTCAATCAATGTACACTGAGTACAAATTTGACTACAGAGCTGAATAACTAAACCCTCACTCTTTACACCCGCTTGAGGACAATACAAACATACCATCAACTTAACAGCTTCTGCTCAAGGAGGGACAAAACCGGCATTTTTTGTCACCCGAGCAAGTCAGAATCCCAGCACATGCTGCATGAGCTGCTTTGTATGTGCTCAAAGAGCACATACAATACTAAAAGTGGTTTGTCTTAATACTTACCAGTCACTCGGGTCATCCCATTAAACTCATGTTCTTGGCTTGCATAATAGAATAATACTTACCTAAACACAGTAAAACTAATCATAAATGTGGAACCTCATAAAAACCTGAGACGTGTGCCACAATCCAGCACGAGTATGTTTTACCACATCAGCAAGAAAGATACTGTCATCTACTTACAAACTGTCTCCTACAAATGTCCTTGGACGATCACAATACAATGCTGTTACACCTATTAAACAAATGCTTTCCAGAGGCTGCTTTTTCCAGCCAGTGCCTAAAAATCTTGTACTAATTTTGTTTATTCCTAAAAATGTTAATTTCCATGTAGCACATCTGAATCAAAAAGGCAAAAGGCATGCCTTTCCTAAAGAATCCCCTTCTTACCTTTGCTAATATTGAATTTATCCAGCTAGTGAAGGTTTTCTTCTGCGTAAACTCTCGCTGCACTAGGGGAAAAAAAAAAAAGAAAATATGGTTAATGGAAAAAATTATCTGGTTTTATTCTCTTTCTCAAAAAGATACATGGCACCCATCTCCAACCTAAGGTCTGTTCTTCCAGATATTAAGATACAATTTAATATTAGTTTTTCTCAACTCTTATTTTAGTGCTGACATTTTCTTGCTTGCAGAGATGATACTGCAAGGACCTCCACAACCATCAAGCACGCTTTTACTGGATGCAGCTAAGAGCAACTAATGAAGGTTTTTTCAAAAGTTCAGCAAATGCAAACAGCAGTGTGAACACATCATCTTAGAGAGCAATACGTCTAGGATAACCCCATCCATTCCTAAATGTTCCTTGAAATACTCACAGCAATCACCAGTACAAGATCTATCTTGAAATTTGGCAAAAGCCATGCATGGAGTTTGGTGATGAGACCAGGATGAAGGCTGAGGTTAGGTGATATATGCAAATCTGTAGATGAAGCCACACAACAGGATGTCTTGGCTAACTGAAGGGCCAGGGAGAGTTAATGGGGAATATACTCCTTTTCAGCACTGGGCCCTCCCTGGGGAATGCAGACCCTTAATCTGGCCAAACAGGGGCACACCGGGTCTTAGAAAGGAGGGAGGAAGGAGGAAGTGCTTGAACTCATGCCCCAGTAAAAAATGGTGAAATGGGACTCAAAGCGTGACCCAGTGATGCAGCGATCCAGCTCTTCACTGAGGTCCTGCAGGATGGTACACAGTGATAAACTACCAGCAGTTGTGAAGGGAGAGAGGACATTGTTTAAGCCCATGTTTCAAAAATCAGAATATTTAAACTGCTTCTCACATCAGAGTAGAGATTGAGTGGAGAGGGAAAAGCCTTTCGCCATGGTTTGTGGGCAGCAGAAATGAAGAAAAGCCTAGTTCCCCTAAAAGGTGAAGCAGAGTGTGAGCAGCAAAGGCAGACAGACCAGTTCCCCAGCCCCAGCCCTGGACATGGCCCGTGGATCACACAACACCTCAGCCCACCCTCCCTCCCAAAAAACACCCCGTGCCCAAGACACATCACCACCAAAACCATACGTCCCTGCTGGACGTCTGTATGCAGGTCTGAGATAACAGCAGGAGGTGTTGGCCCCCGAGATTACAGCCTTTCAGACCTCAATGCTGCGCAGGCACTGCTGCCAGCGGCTATCCCATCCCATGGGAGCAGGCGTGAACACAAACTCCTTTTTCTCTCCCTTTCCACATCAGCTTTCACTGCAAGCGTTGGGGTTGGCTTCCCAAAAAAAACAGGTCAAAAAGCACTATCCACACCCCCGTCCTGGCCCCAAGGGGCCTGCCTGGAGCTGCAGAAGGGCGGTCATCTGCTGCCTCTTCCCCGTTTGAATAAAAATCCAAATGCACTGGTTTTTAATAGCCCAGACATTACAAAGCAGGTCAAACAGACTATTAACTGAGGGAGGGCAAGATTGTACAGTTAAGAAGTTAAGAGAGTTGATGTTTTCATTGCCCAAACCACCACCTTTGGCCTGCACCAGCTGCATGGCTGTCCCAGCCCTTCCCTCCAAGGGCTGAGGCGGATGCCGGCCCCTCCATGCATGGCTACAGGCAGCCACCCCCAGGGTCGGCCTGCAACACTGCTGCCTCTCATTGCAGGCAGCAGAGAAGCAAAGCATGAGAGGTGGGAGAGGTAGAAAGCAGAACAAAAGACTAAGCTCCTCTCCCTGCTATGCTGGGCAGCACGGGGGGCTGTGTCAGGCAGCCTGGAGCAGAGGACAGGGCTTTGGGTCACGGTGACACAGAGGGTCGGAGTTCTTGCATACAGGTACACAGGTGGGGTGGGGTGGGATGGGATGGGATGGGATGCTGGCCCACTGCCCTGCTGGGAGGATAGGAGAGGACGGTGCATGTCCTGCACCGTGTCCCGGGTGCAGCTCCCTGAGGAGTGGCAGGCAGTAGGGCAGCATGCATGGCCCAGGCTGGAAGGAGATGGTGAGCAAGGAAGCTGAGGGGACGCTCACTGCCCACTTCCCAGCTGGGGTAAATCCTCGCGATCCCACGCGAGAGGCAGCAGGAGACTCTAAGCAGGCCATCAGCTTGCGAGAAGAAACACATCTGGGAGATAGGGTGGGAGCGGATGATCTCTTCTGCCCCTGAAAGCATGTTCTTGCACAAAAGATGAATGCGAAGGCAATTTTGACATCATAAGGCAAGTGCAAGACTACTCAGCAATAGATATGTATGTTTTTGTAGGCTGGGCAGGATGAAAGATACCAAAAATATCAAGCCTTTGAGGGGAATAAAATCCAACCTGAATGCTCTCCCCATGAAAATGAAAATGCCACGCAGAGGAAAATGTCCCACACTTTATTACGCCCTGGGAATTTGGCAAACACAGACCACAGTCCTGGGTGGCTTTTCATCATCCAAGATGGCCTAAAGGGCTTGCCACGCAGAGCTTCATCAGCTCGCAAAGTGGAGCAAGCCGCTTAAGGATAATGCGGCCTCCTGCTCCTAACCCCACCGTGTGACCCACAGACCTCCTTCTGCTTCACCGGGTGGGTGAGCAGCGAGAAAAACATTCACACACTACGTGCATCAAGGGCTGCTTTGAATCCTGTAGCTAACACATTCTTTCAACAGTCCTCCTCTAATCTGCAATACTATGATCCAGTTGGAGCACGGAACAGTCAATTTCCCCTGCTTGCTGGATTGTTTTAGGCTTCTTTTTAAATATCACAGAGATCATGACAAACAGTAAGACAAGGGCAGTCTTAAAGACACAGACAAAAATGCAATCTTAAAATTCTGTTCTGTTTGGAAAAGAGAAAATAAGTGCAAACATGCCACACAGACCAGTCAAGGAGGACATAAATAGCATGGAGACATTGGCTTCATGTTAGCACAGGACCCAACCACACCCTTTGGTTGAATACCCGTGCGGGAGCCGTTCCAATTACCCAACGAGCGATTATTGAGTAGCTGCGCTCAATTTTATCAGGCAGGCAAGGCTGGTATTGCTGGCACTTGAAAAGGGACGGAAAGCAAATATTAACTACTCTGCCTGACGCCTGTGACTCTTCCAGCTATAGCTCTTGCCAAACACATGCCACTGCTACTGATTTGGAGAACTTGCTTTTGGGGTTGATTGCAGAAAGATGGTTAGGACATTTGGTCTTGTTTTGGTTGTATCTCTCCATATTCACGTGCTCCATTGTGCAATATGGGCCAGATACTGCAAGTGTTGATTCACATGGGCAGACAAATGCCTCACCTGGCAAAAGCACAAGGCGGTTATTTCACTGCACACACCTAAGCACACCTTACACCCTCCCCAGGCTACAGCTGCTGCCTCATGCAACCCAGCGGGCTGCCTTCCAAGCAGCTGCTGCCTCAGCTGCAATGTGGTTTATTTTCCTACCCAAATAAATAATAATAATAAAATCTCCTCCTGAATTAATAACAAAACTCCATGCTTAGCAACACTTCCCCAGACCGTAGTGCAGCAGTCACTTTGTTTCCATCCAGGCCACACAACACACAGCTCAGTACAGATGTGCTTCTGGCACTGTGGCAGGCAGTTTTATTGCAATTTTCAGGCCAAGTGTGTTTTCCCTCCCAGCTCCCCTCCGACTCTACTGCTCAGAGGCACTAACGATTTAATCAAGCTCTCAAATTCTTATCTCTACCACGTGTTTAATTAATAGGGATTTTTATTTTTATGAGGATGAATGGATTCTTTGTTAGGCCTTTTTATAGGACTCTAAGTGACCTTGGTTTTCTCTTGCCCTAGTTTTCAAAATGTCACTGACCCAGAATAAAAAAGGCATCAAAAAACCCTGATCATTTCCTTCACATTGGGCCAAAACTCATCTAGCCAAAAAGTGGATCTGAGACAACAAAATAAGAACCTGCTAATCTGAAAACACCTAAAATCTATCACATTTCACCCTGTGTGCTAATCTTCAGAACAACTCTTTAGGAGGAATAACAGATAGAAGCAGCGTGTCACGTAGGCTAGCCGAGAATCAATACACACTGCTGGACAATGACTGTTTTATCCAGTAATGAGCTATCAACAAGTGCTACAAACCAGAGTAATCACTAAGGGATGGAGCATGGGGACATGGCAGGGACCACGGCAGCGCTGAACTCTCCCAGGAGGAAGAAGAGGGCAGGCACGCTGCCAGCCACGGTTTTACTCTCAGCCTTCCTTTAACGGTGATACAGAAAAGCCAGACTTAATCTTCTCTCCTCTGTTGCCTTTAGTGCCTCCTTTCCCAAGGTCGGAGATGGCAGCTCACAGGAAAACGCCGTCTCCTCCCTCGGCAGGGAGCTGGGGGAAGCAAGCTGTGGCAGAACACATGTAGCCTGTCTGTCCATGCTCATCAAACAATGTCACCAAACAGCAAAGAGGTTTTCTTCTATCACAAAGACCAGTGCATCACTGTCAGTGAACCATTTACAACTGTGTGGCTTTTTTTTTTTTCTCCAAAAAACCCCCTTTTTTAAACAATTATTTGAAATTAATGAGTGCAAGCCTGTCTGTCATCTTCCCATCTCTGTTTCGCCAGAAGGAATTACCTCTTGTGTATGATATTTTTATATCTTCCTTTCACCATTCAGGTCAGCTGAGGCTATGTCTACAGTAGCAAGCAGTGCAGCTCAACAGGAACAGATAATTAGATCAAAAGATCCAGTGTTCAGGATGTAGCATACCCACCACGTGTGTAAGGAAGAAAGGTTGTGTTGGACTAGCTCTAGCCTGAATGCCCACAGACAGCCACCGTACCTTCTTGGGGCATATATTTCAGTTTCATCCAAAATAACCGTTTCCACGCTCCCTTGAGGGCTCAGCAAAACGAACCAAAGCATGGTCAGCAGGGATAACTGGGAGAGCTCCTTCAAGATAGCCACTGCTGGTATGAACTAAACCACCAAGCACGTACATGCTGTAAATGATAGGAACTATCAGAAGAATCGTTAAGTACTTGCCAACCCAGGGAAAGTATGA